CACATCGCTAGTGGCTAAATTTACTTAGCTTCCAATTATTACACAAACATTTATATTTCTCTGTATTCAACCCTTTTAAAAATCCCAAGGTAATCAGCAAGGAAAATGCAGAAAAATAAACCATATCTTAGCATTTACCATTTCCAGTTTTATCTTCACAACTCAAAAAAAAAAAAAAATTGAATGAGTTTAATTCAACTTCCTTCTGATTTATAGCAAATATCAGAGGTTTGAACCAGAAGCCACACTTTAAGAGACCCTGTAATGAACATATAAGTGGATATGGCATATAGACAGAACAATCTCTTATCTCCTTGGTTTTATACTGCACACAAACCTGATGGTGAAAATTAACCTTCTTTGCAGTTCAACATTTCTAATTAGAAGAGACATCAAAAAGATTATCCCTTAGAAAGCAGTATGGGCCATAATATTCTAGATAGCCTTTGAAACAGAGCTCTGCTGCTTCCTATGTATTTTAGACTGCTGTCTAAACGAAAAGCAATAACCAGATGAACTTTCAAAGTGGTTATGGCTTTATGTGCCAAGTTGTGTTATATTTTCTCATCTTTCCTTTTCATACTTATTATGAAGAAGCAGACATCCTAGTATACAGGACCTATTTATTGCTTTTAGCCCTGAATATGTAAAATAGTCTATACCATCAAATCATGCTTTACTAAAAGTTTCCTTGGTAGAAATGTTTACAAATCTTCAAGAACTGACTAGTTCATTGAGAATCCTTTTGTGCCTCTGTGTGTGTGATGGGGGCTGTTTTGTTTCGTCTGCACAAGGCAAGAAAGGAGAGGCGAAAGATGCTCTGAACTCAGCTTAGAACACAGAACCTTCAAATAAAAGGCCACACAGGCTAAGCCCTTCCCCAGGAAGAAATTCCTTTCCAACATCAGTGGTTAATTAGCTAAAATGTTCACTGCTGGGGAGCACGCCACTTCACAAAAGAGTTCCTTCTCTTGTAGACAGTTACACGTTTAATGAAGTTCTTTCTTACTCTGAGTTGAAATCCTTGTCCTCTCATTTCTCTCTTCCTATCCTAATCCCATCCTTTGGCAAAGCACAGAACAAATCTCCTGCACCTTCCATATCTTCCTTCTATGAGTATTTGAGAGCAATCCTTATGTCTCTCCTATTTTTCCCACCTCCATATTAAATATTACCAGCTCCTTCAAGAATTCCTCCTATGACATGGTTTCCAGATGTTACAAATAAACTGGAATTGTAGCATGACTCAAAATTTTTCTTAAAATATTTTTTAAACAGATCTGAAGGTTATTTCTCATTTATTTACAAGCATAACTGACACAATTACAACGACTATCCAGAACCCAGTGGTCTTCCCAGAAGCTGTATTTATGCTAGCTCCCCTTCTTGTGATACACACACACACACACCACCACCACCACCACCACCATTCATGTGATACAAATTGGGTCAGAGAACCTCATCTCCCTGGCCACACCGATTGGCTGAAAGAATAGTCATAAGTTCCAAGCTGGACTAATCAGAGTCATTCCCCAAGGTTTCCAATTGGAACTCAGAGAAGGCTTGCGTTCCTCTTAGCCCTAGATCTACTAGATTCAACAGCCATTTACTCATTTCCTGAAATAAGCCATTTTGATAGAATGAGTCCAGTATGAAAAGGGGTGTGGAAAAAGGGTCCAATAAGAAAGACAGGGTCTACCTCTCTTTCCTGCGTTCTGGTTATTCAGCTAGGACTTCCCCTCTGTCTGAACTGAGTTTGAGTCAAGTTTGTATCGTCTACAACACAGAGGGTCCTATTGAACACAACATTCATAACCTTGCAAGCAGTCTAACAGGACCAACAGAATGTGGTCATTAAAAAAATGCCATCCCACCCTACAAAAGGAATGGATGGAATCTCTTTCCATCACAATTTTAAGAATGAGAGCAATACTCACTTACTAAAGATCAAGGTCTATCTTGCCTAAACACCTGAGTTCATAGGACTGACACTATTTGCTCAAACTATATTCTGAGACCTATGACAGGGCCTGGCACATAGTAGGTGCCTAAGACACACTCCACTATACTTGTTAAAGTGAACAGAAGAAACAGTGGGCAAAACATTGAATATAAATGATCAAGATGAAGACATGAGTTCCCTGTGGAAACCTTAGATGTATTTCACATCTCCTTAGTATTAGATAACCCACTGGCCACACAAATTACGGAACCAGATTATCTCTTCAGTCTTTTTTAGCCATAAAATATTAGGAGTCTATCCATATTCCACAGAAGGTAATGAAGAGTCTTCTAAAGACTTAGGCAGGCAGACAAAAATGAGAAACATGCTGAGATAATGAAGGAAGCATAAAGATGAGAAACAATAACCTACTAAAGAAATAATAAAGAAAAGAAAGAAAAAGAAAGGGAAGAAATCATTACTAATATGATAAAAGAGGTCATTTAGACAAGCCATCTTCCTATTACCTTCCTGTCTTATTCTAACTGATTTCTGTGGTCAGAAATGCCCTCTGCACTGGATTCAAACTGCCAGCCCCAGAGCCTTGTTCCTTTCTGGCCCCTTAAAACACACAGGATGGCTACTTCCACTCTTCCAAGAATCTCCTTCCAGAGTTGGCTCCCTGCTTCAGCCTTTGGTCCCAGCTGTTCCCAACACCTCGTTCACCATTCCAAACAAACAGTTTGTCTTTGTCACCCACAGAATACACTCAATTACACGGTGTGCCTTCCCATCCCTGTTTCCCAGACTGCAGTCTGCAATGACTGATGCCCAGATGTTCATAATTTTCAATTTATTGATCAGTGTTTTGAACTTAGGATTTTGTCTCCACACAAATAATCATAAAATGCATCAAGCTCCTTGAGGAAATGACCTCACATCCTTTTGTGGAAGAAGGCCTTAATTAGGGCAAATACTGTTATTACAGTTAGCAACTAATATTTAAATATTACTATATAGCTCCATACCAAGTATTGGGTGCTATGTATCAGCATATTATACTACACACAGATATTATGACAACACTATGTGAAGCATTTTACATGCATTTGCTCTTTTAGTTCTCATAAGACCTCTAAGAGGTTAAGTACCAATTATTATCCACATATAAGATGAAGAATCTGAGGCTCAGAAAGAGCAACTTACTAATTCACACAGCTAGTAAGCACAAGAGCCACACGACCTGACTCCAGAATCCTCCCTCTTACAGGTATTCCACGACCCACAAGGACATCGATCCCTGTGAGCAATGGAGAGGGGGGACAGCGGAGGAACCAAAAGCAAAGAGACTAGGGCACCGAAGTCAACATGATCTACTTCTTGATTTTGCTCAGAGTCAGCCCTATTTGAAGTAGAACCTTGTTCCCATTATGGAGCAATAGATTATCTGCCATTTTGCATTGTGGAAATGTACCCTCCATTATCCAGGCTAATCTAGTTGACTGTAGAACGCTGTACACAGACACTCTAATGACAGACAACTAATTCGATCTTCTGTGTGAGGAAGATGCAGCTGAACATCTCTTCAACTTTTTCCCTATCGCTTTTGATGCAGGGTCCTTTACATACACCACAGCTAATCCTCCCTACAGCATCCAGACGAGAAAAGTAATTGAAAATATCAGGAAAAGGGAGAGGGGGTGAGGATGAAGGGGAAGAAGGATTATAAAAATGGTGCCCCCCAAAAAACATTATTAAGAGATTTTTTTAACAAGCAAACCAGTGCAGGTTGATCTGAAAACTTTTGAATCTGAGAGAAAAGAATCTATCATTAAACAAAGAGAAGCATTTGACTGTGCAATAGAAACCCTATGTTCAAATAGCCAAGGTGGCATTCTCCTCCATTACCCAGCAGAGAGATGATATTTCCTCCACCATCTGAGCCAGCAGGAAAGCCCCTGAAATAGTATTTCCTGGAGAAGTAAGACCTTGCTGCTGTAACCTATGCAGGATCTGAAGTAGCAGCAGCATGTCATCACTAAGCAAAAATCCAAGTATTCTTAAATTTCATCATCTCCAATTGCTCCAAAATCTTCATCTATTCACTAAAGGTTTCATGCACTTTGATAGAAAATAATGCCCATCTCTACTGAAGAATCACTAGCTAGGTCTATGTGATAATTAGTCTCTAGTTCAAGTGAAATGGAAGCTGGGATTCACACTAGTAAACTCTCTGGGGACATTCAGGAGTTATTACATAAAGGTATAAATACAAAAAGTATAACTTGTGATGAAATGTAGCAGAGACTATCTCTCACTGAAATAATAGCCTCCTTTGGTAGGAAGTTTGGCAGTCATTATCAACTGAAAAACTGTTGCAAGCTAAAATACTATACAGGATCTAAAACACTATACAATTAGAAATCTCGAAAAGTTAAAAGTCCTTAAAATACGCTAAGGAAGGAGTCATGCTTTCATTCCAAGTCCAACCAGTTTCTTATTCTAAGCAATTTCCATTAAACAGGCAAAGGAGCAGGGAGGAGAGAAAGTATTTGAAAAACTGCCAGAGTAAAAAATCCCATAATGAAATTTTGCTCATTCTTGGAGAAATGAAGTAGAATTAGATGCTTCAGTGGTGGTGAATTCCAGAATCTGGGTAGCTTCCAGTAAATGAAGCTTTTCCATAATGTCAGAGGCAAAAACTATCTGATATCAACATATTGAGCTTGAGTTTTTAAACTCCTATTTCCTTACACCAAACTGTTTGAAACCTTTGAAATAAAAACCTCAATAAACCAGTGTTCCAAGCTTTTAATATTTTAGTCCCTTGAGCAAGCATGTCAGATTAATCTTCAAATTGCAATGGGCAGAAAGAACATTAAACCGAAATTCTCAAGCCCAGTGCCTCTCTGCAAGGATGTTAATAAGCTAAGCAGTTTCATTGGCTATTAAGATTTCAAACTTTCCTAATTCTCAGCGGCCTGACCCTTTTAAAGTGGGTGGGGACAGAGGTGGGAGAGGAAGCTAGGGATTTTGTTTCTGACATCTTTGTATGCACCTAGCATTGAGCACACTGCCAGGCACACAGGAAGCCTTTAACAAATGCTTTCAGAATGAGTTGAAGGAGGAGCGAGTTCAAGACCAGGACACTTTCCAAAGGTTTCTTCTCCCTCTTCCAAAACCTCTGCCCGCACCGCGGGACGATGCTGGGGAACCAGCCGCCCGGCGCCGCGGAGGGAGCGCGGGGTCGCCCGGGGCTGGGGGGCCGGGTGGTCGGGACTGGGGGCGGGCTGGAGGGGGAGGAAGGTGGCCGGAAGCGAGCCGCGGCGCGGGGACAGTACCTGGTGTGGCTGTGGTTGCGGGGACAGTCCTTCTTCTCCATGATGGCCGGCACACAGTTGGTGAGCTCCGTCCAGTCGGCGTGCAGCCCGCAGCTCCAGCCGGTGGAGAAGCGGGAGAAGAGCCACGTCTCCTTCTTGCCGGGCCGGTGGCAGGTGCACTTCTTCTGGCCGGCTTTGCAGCTGCACGGCTGCTCCAGCCGGATGTTCTTCACCAGGTGCCGGCCGAACGTGGTGCCCCCGGTCTTCTGGATGTGCAGGAAGACGATCACGTCGCGCCCCTTGATGTTGAAATCCACGAAGCGGGTCAGGTCCTTCGGGGTGAAGTTGAAGCGCGGCACGAAGCGCGGCAAGGAGCCGTTCTCGGGGGCCTCGGGGTCCGGTTCCTCCTCCTCCTCCTCCGCCGCCTCCTCCTCCTCGTCCTCGGGGTCCCCCGGCTCCTCGTCCTCGTCCTCCGGCGCCGCGGCCCCCCGAGGCCCCTCGGGCGGCCCCCGGGGTGGCGGGGGCAGCTGGGGCCGCCGCTCCCAGTCCTCGGGCGGCGCCTGTGCCCGGCGGGCGGGACTCGGGGCGGCCGGCTGGCCGGCCTCTCCGGCGCGGGGCTGCTCCCCGAAGTTGGCGCAGGAGCTGGAGCAGGAGGGGGACACGTACTGGTACATGATGACCACGAAGAGGAGAGTGAGCACCGGCGTCAGCAGCCACTTGTTGAACCTNGCTGGGGAGCGCGGCTCTGGTCCCCGACCTGCCCCGGGCAGCTGGGCAGCTGCGGCCGCGAGCGCGGGGGCTGCATGGGGCTCTCGAGGGCGCCGGCCAAGGGCGAAGGCACGGCGCGGCCCCGCCGCCCCGGCCACCCGCGGGCCCCGCGAGCCGCACGCGCTCCAGGCGCCTTTGCCCTAGGATCGCCAGGTGCTGGAGCCACGAGGACGCACGGCGCCCGCCGCAAGTTTGCGGAGGAACCCCCCGCAGCGGCTGCGGGCAAGGCGCCGGTGCGGAGCCGCCTCCCCGGGGCGAGGCGCACTGCTGCTCCGGGTCGGTCCGCCCAGGCGCGGGCACGCAGACACACTCGCACACACTGGCTGGCACCGCCACAACCCGCCAGCCGGTGTGACAGGAGCCGTGCTACCCGCAGCAAAAAAAAAAAAAAAAAAAAAACCTGCCCTAGGTACGGAGCATGCGCCAAAGCCTTCCCCAGCCCCCGAGGAATTTCCAGGGGAGGAGTCCGTGGCTCCGCGGGGCTCCGAGCAGGCAACTGGGGGTGGGAATCCCTTCAGCCTTGAGCGTGGAGAGATTCGGAAGAAAGGCAAAGGCGGAGCGAGGAGAGGATGTGAGCAGGTCGTCGCTGGCGCTGATCCGAGACCTCCAAATCCGCAGCTTTCTCCATCTGAGGGTGAACAGAAATCTGGCCAGGCGATTTGCACGAATAACACGTGCCCACTACTGGGCAGACCCACCTAGGCAGGACTTCGCAGAAGTTGGCTGGTCCCTTGCTGGCAGGGCATATTGGCTCAGGATTGCTTTTCATCTCTACACAAGACGTTCTAACTGGTGCTCAAGTTTTATTCTGGTCCTTCCACAGGTACAGACTCGGTGTGTTCAATTCTACAACTTTATTCAACCAGCATCTATTCATCGATTATCCATTAGGCGCCTACTGTGGATCTGACTCTGTGTTCACGGCACACTTCAATGCTTCCAGTACCAGACAGTCCAGCCCACAACCAGAGAGGAATTTAGGGGTCACCTCCTAAAATTCGTCCGACTACCACACACGGAGCTCCCCGATGTGCAAGTTTCGCCCCTTCCCCCACCCCAATAGGGACGATAAGATCACCTGTATTTCACAAGCCACAAAGCTCTTGATTAGGTGCAGATTTTAACTTTCTTTGTCAAACATCTTTATTTTTCATTTATCTGAGAAGCAATTCTTTGTTTAATAACAGTTTCTCTTTTTCAGGTAATGAATGGAGGAGGGAAAAAAAAATGAGATAACTGCGCCTACCCAATTCCTGGACTTACTCGACGGAAATTGAGAGTGGCAGTGTACTGAAGGTGGACACAGTGCAGCTTGAGTCCGTGGCTCAGGCCAGCATGTCCTTCCTGGGTGCCCTGCCAGCCCTAGTCCCCAGCCCCAACATCCCAGCCTTCCCTCCTGGCCTCTTCATGGGTCTATCCTGTACTTGTCCCTTCCTGAGACACTGTGCTGATTTCTTTCATTTGTCAGACTGCCCCGGTCACAGCTATTAGTTAAGATCCAGATCTCTTTCAGAGTTGCTAACACTTGCCCAAAAGAGGCCATTTATATTGTTCTAGGCAGGTTGGACTCTTCTAATGAACTTCCCTCTGCTACTTCCTTTCCTATTTTCAACTCTATTAACAACCACAGTGTCCTTCCTGACACCGTATGAGATTCCATGAGTAAGAAAGGTGTTGGGTAAGATGAATCAGTTTCTTTAAAGCTTACTTGATCCCATTTCTTTTTCTCACATTTAAAGTTTAAAATCCTATTAATGGCATCACACTACTCTCCAAAGCCAGGAACTGTGATAGAACAAATCCCAATGAAACCCAACAATTATTTCCTGAATGCATCTAGTTAATGGTGTTACTTATGTTTTAAAATATGCCTTGCATTAGCGAAGTAAAAACCTATTACACCTTGTTATATTACTTTATTTGAGAAGTTTCTTGTTTTCTATAAAATCACTTGATGTCACATGGATAAATATAACTCTATTAGCTACCCAAAGGTAAAACCTGAGTACTGGTGGCACTTTATATAGTGGAAAGCACTTTCCTAGCCATATCTCGTTTGCTCCTTGGAACAACACTCTAAGGAGATAAGAGAAGTACAGTCCTACCCCTCCCTAAATCCTGGGATGCTCAAGTCCCTTATATAAAATGGTACTGTTCAATTGCTCAGTGTTCAGTGTTCAGTCGTGTCCAGTTCTTTGCAATCTCATGAACTACAGCAAGCCAGGTTTCCCTGTCCTTCACTGTCTCCTGGAGTTTGTTCAAATTCATGTCTATTGAGTCAGTGATGCTATCTAACCAGTTTGTAGCTATGTAAATAGTTTTTGACACACAGAAAATTCAAGTTTTGCTTTTTGGAATTATCTGGACTTTTTTTCCAATATTTTCAGTCCTTAGTTGGTTGAATCTGTGGATAAGGAACCTGGGATACAGAAGGACAACTGAATAATATGCCATTTCAGATATGAGGAAACTTAACCAAGGAAAACTAGGTGAAAACAGAGCCAGAATTAGAAACCACTATCATCCCTGAAATGCATTCAAATCACCATTTAAGAAATCCAACGAACATCAACAACAGAGCCCATAATTTCCATTCTCCTCTCTTGAGATCCTTTGAGTCAAGAGGCAGGAAGAGACAACAGAACTGCAATAGAACAATTAAATTATTTTTCTCTCTCCCTCTGGCTTTGTAGGCAAAGCTGAGTAATCTCTACATCTTGCGTTGTTGTGGAACCTAGCCTGTGACTTTCCAGATAAACAAGGGAACGACAATGACCATCTTAACATGATTATGTCATTGTAAGTTACCTAGGAGAATTTTAGAAGATATTACAGCAAACAGATATAACAGCTATGTTGCTAACAAAATGTATGTTTCTATAAATAAGTGCACTTTTAACCTTTTCAAATAACATTATCCCAGAAGATCTGTTTCTGCTTTCAGTAAAATAACTAATGGAGTGCCACCGTTTCCTTCAGAAGAAAAACAATCCATAGCATCAAGCAATTACATCGATAATTCAGGCATAGACCCAAGTATTCATTTTTAATGATGGGTAACTTTAGTTGTGTAAACAGTCTATCTCAGGTGTGCTCTTTCTATTATAATTGTGGAACTTGGTGTGAACCTAATCAAAGCTCTTAAATCAGGAGCAATAAACAGGCTTCCTTATCTATGTGGGCAGACCTCACATTCAGGCAAAAATGAATAGAAACTTTCTAAAATTGAATCCTCTCCAGGTAAAGGGAAAACATGTTTGCATTCAGCCTACTATAGTTACTCCATGATGACACCAGCTGGCAATTGTTTCTGGCTAACAGATTGCAGCTACTATGATGCCTACACAAATTATTAAAATAATAAAAATAATGTTTTCAAAGAGCTCTCTTCCACTTCCTCTGCCAGTCTAGCAATGAGCTTGACACTATCTGTGAAGCAATTTGTTCACCTAATTTTAAGCCTATTAATAAACTTTAACTACAGTTATTCTTGCCTAATGCCTTTTCTGCCTTAACTTTTGGTACTCTTCCTCCTGGTTCTTCTCAAATATTCTCAAACCCGTTAACAACACTGCACTCCCGTAGGATTCAAACTTTTGATTAGAATAGTCCCCATTTAATCAAGTTCAATTGGGAGATAAAATTGCATCTCAACTTCTCCCTTTTCCCTTTGGTGCCAGAAACTGACTCTGAGAATGTTGAAGAAACCCTGGAGAGATTAACAATCCAAACAATCACAGAGAATGGTTTCAGATCCCCTACATTTGCACACAGGAATATATGGATATGAATGCCCTTCAATACAGATCAAAAACAAACTAGATTGTATAAGTCATTGGCATCATAAATCTCTCCTTCAAGAATACAAAATACTCTTATACACTGAAATAACAATTTTTTTTTCATTTTTGTAAACAACCTCCCCCCCCCCAAAAAAAAAGAAAGCCCCCTGGGGTAAGCAGTTTTGCAAATAACCAGCAAAGCAGTAGCTTTCTTTTTCCAGAGGAAGTTAAGCGGAAGAGTTTGTATAGATAGGGCAAATTGCAGGAAGAATGGTGATGTTTACTGAATATATTCCAGTTCACTACATGATTGTAACTTTGGGGCAAACACAACCCTGCATACTGTTTCCCATAAAGTTCTATGTATGTGAACAGTTCATTCCCTGCTTTATTGTATGACACTCATCATCCACCACTGATAGGTGCCTGAAAGTGATGAATGAAGGTTATTTACCTGTATGCACAATATATTCATTCAGTATGACGTAAGCAGATGCAATGCCATTTTCATAGAAGATATTCACATTCCTTTAACAAAAATTTGTTAAGCACTTAGTATACACCAGGTGCTCTTCTGAGTGCTTTGTATATCACATTAAAAAGACCAATAAGGACCCTGCCTTCATGCAGCTTTCATTCCAACAGGGAAAAAATAAATGATGAAAAAGGAAACAAGAATCATCCATTTACCCCAAGGTTATTTATTGATCCCCTACTGTGTTACCAGGTACTTCCAGGTACTTGGGATACTTCAGTGAACACTAGAAACTACAATTTTTGTCCTCAAGAGTTCAAATGCAAGCAGAGTAAAATAGTTGGGCTTTGTGGGCTATTGCAAGACATTTAGTGTGAAAGAAATAGGGAGCCAATGGGGGGATTTGAACAGATTTTAAAGTGTCATTTTAACTGTTTCATTGAGAATAGACTGTAGGAGGGCCAACGTAGAGCAGGAAAAGCAGTGAAGTGGTATAGTAAGTCCCCTACATACAAATGAGTCCCATTCTGAGAGTGCTTTCATAAGTTCTATTTGTTAATAAGTCCAACAAAGTTAGCCTAGGTACCCAACTAACACAATTGGCTATATTGTACTGTACTGTAATAGCTTTACAATACTTTTCACATAAATAATACATAAAAAACAAACACAAACAATTTTTTAAACAATTTCAATCTTAAAGTACAATACCTTGAAAAGTACAGTAGTATAGTACATCAGCTGGAATACAGGGCCTGACATCAAGTGAACAAGTTTCAGACTAGAAGAGGGAAGGGTGGTGGAGATGGTAGAGCTAAAAGATCATCAGCACTAGAAGATGAAGGGCAAGCTGCAATTTTACTCATGCCTGACAGTGATGGAATCCTTGTTCACATCTTTGTAAGTCTGCAACTTGAAGCTTTGCATGTAGGGGACTTACTGTATTCCATAATCAGGAGAGATGATACAGCTTAGACCAAGACAGGAGGCAAAGGAGACATTGGGAAATGGTCAATTGCCCCCATTTTCAGGACAGAGCCATCAGTGTTTCCTGTTAGATTGAACGTGGGGGATTGGAGAAAAGGAGAGCCAAGGATGATGCCAAGGTCTGGAGCCCTCGAAATTGGAAAGATGGAGTCACCATCAACTGAGATGTCAGCTGA